CAAGACGACACTAGATAAAGAACCTCATAGCAATGGATATTACATAGACCACTAGACTTAAACATGAGGACTGGGTCTTCACCTAATTGGTCAGGATCATACTGTTGTGGGAGAAATGAAATTGTTTGACTGATTAAAAAATATTGTGCTGAAAATTTTCTATTTCCGTGGTGTTTTCGGATGTATTTGTTCTGATGAACTCCCGAACTTGTGTGTTGATATCTTTGTCTTCACACATTTTGGTTTCTCTTTGTCTTCGGTTTGATATTTGGGTGATTTTGCTCCGGGAACCTAAGAAACTGAAGGTTTGTTTTGTAATTGTTATATTTATTATGAGATCGACATTTGGGTCGATTATTTCTAATTTGCGAATAAACCTTGGTGATTGGATTAAAGTTTGGTTCCATCGTTACCTAGGGTCATAAGTTATAAATAGTAGCAAAAGCTTTGACACAACACACAGCCTTATTCAGATTTCTACTCTCAGTAGGACTAGTGAGCCAAATCGAGCTAGGATAAAAGGGTTGTCCTAAACTGTCCGTAATGCAGCCTTCAGGGGGAGTAAATGACACAAAAATGATAAGTGCATCGCATGCTAATCGCTTATCAAATCGCGTGACAGCACTTGAACGTAATTTCTATAGTTCTTGGGTTTGCTGTCACTGTGATGACGCAGTAACTAGGCAGTATTACGTGTTCATGTTAAGTCAACCTTGTTTGTAGTTCTGGTATGTTTTTCCACAGCGTAGAAAAAAAAGATGGGACTAAAAAGTGAGAATTACGAGACCCCATTGTAAGCAAACATATCAATCCGTAAAAGTATAACCAAACTGTCAAACATCCACTCAACTGAACACACGAATTTCGGAGCCAAAGCCCGAGCGCATACACAAAAATTCCAGTATCTGTTAACATTGTGGAGTAGTGAGTAGGCATTGTGAAGGGAAACCGATACAGAATTATGTCCAGAATTAGGCATTGGGGTACGAGAATAGAGTACCACAGACTACATTTAAATTACATCAGCTTTGGAACAAAAAAGTATGGCAGTGAACCATACACAAAGTGGAAGATTATGGTTTGGAGAATAAACTAGAGACATAAGTAAATGTTAGTGTTCTACACACTTTGACGTAAGTGAAATAACGTTCCCAAAAATAGCTTTCGTTATTTGTCATGGCTACTCTGTTCCTCTGTTCACATCAGGGTGCAAAGATATTAGACAGAACTCCTTGGTTTTGTTTAATGTTCCAATGTTGGTGAGTGGCCTACTAGAAGGCGGGGAGTTCTTTGATATGCCGCCCGCAGAAGTGTCAAAACATAGCGAAACCTAAAACCTTCCCATTAAAAATAACTCTAGACTCAGTATATGTTACAAAAGAAACACTACTGACATCTCAAAGACCATCGGCTAAACGATTTTCTCAGATCCACATTATAAACGAATATTCATGGGCCATGAGAGTTGCTGCTAGAAGGTCAGAAAACACTCCATCCCCACATCTCAGGAAGCAGGATACGGCCTCTACAGTGCGGTTCTATAGTTGGCTTGGTGCAGCCATTAAAATTTCAGGGATGACTGGATATGTCGCTTGCGCCACGAGATGGGATGAGGACAGAAAATCTACAGACTTTAATTATTTGTTAACAACTGATCAGCTTCTAGTTGAGAATGTTGTTGTTCACCCATCTGTAATAAGTAGTGGACATGGTGCTGTCATATATAACCTGGTCACTAGCGAGATATAGCATTGAAGCGAGGACACTCTTAACCCTAGCTACATCAAAACAGGTCAAGCTACCACGAGCGAGCATCTCTAAAATGTCACCTAACGATGATAGTGGTGGATACAAACAGTGGATGACCACCAGGAGGTAGTGAGGGATGTCTTTCGAAATTCCACTCTAAACAACGTACTTCAAGAGAGGTGCACACTTGGATATGAAAGATTTTGGGTTAGGCGAGTCAGACAACACTTATTGCAGGCAAAAAAGGCACCCTGATACGAATGGAAAGTTCCCCTGAACGATTCTGACTGTAACTGTTATTAGGCGTTAAGATACAGATGTAACGCCAAAGTCTGTAGGGTTAGGTGGTGTCTTCATGCTAATCCAGCAGCCAAAATGCGAGCTAACCTCAAACATCTCCGCGGATTCATGACGAGGAGAAAGTTCACAAACCAATCGATCGGTACTTTTAAGGAACCAAGTGGAGAAATCTTACTAACTTAGAGATAGTGAATACTTTTAATGCTAACTTTGTGGAAGCAAGGTACTCTCACTCCAATCTTGAAACGGAGATAGACGAAACCCAGCTTGTGAGAGACCAGTTTCATTACTCCTAATATTCTCGAAGGTAATGGAAGGATGAAAATATGAGAGAATGTTTGGATAAAAGCAGTATCGTTCACGAAGCTCGACAGGAGTTCAGGAAAGGCAGGTCATGTGCATCCAATATCCTCATTGTATGGGGAAGCTGAACGACCTGCTGGAATCACATGATACTGGCTCATGTAATATCCCTCTATTTCGCAAAACCCTTCGACACCATATCCCATGTACTTCCCGTAGAAAACGTTGCAAAGATGAGTTTCACTTGCCCACTCTTATCCTGGATCCGAAACTACGCAGAGATCTGCATGCTTCGTACCAAGTTAAATAAAGTGTTCGCTAGCTAGAACGTTTTAACATCAGGAGTTTCACATGGAACAATCTTGGGTTCTCTCGTGTTCATGATCTTCATGAACTATCTGTAAGATAAAATTAGCTTGACTGCACCAATCTATAGGGAATATACAAAGATCTAGTGGTTTATGAAAAACGTAAGGGATTAACTTGAGGTTCAAAAAAGGCCTCAAAGAAAGGGAGGAATGAGCAGTAGACAATAGATTAAAATTTAACATGCCAAGAAGTTGTTATACTAACACTCTGCCTCATTTGATACAAACCACTAACGTCCTCCATGGAGATCTGCTCTCATTTTTCCTTGAAAGAGTGAGTTCGGGCTTGTAATCACAAAGAACCAAGTCACCAGAGCTAATTACAGAGAGTATGCAGCCAAAGCAATCGCAATATTTCCCTTTATGTGAAGACAACAGCGCAACCATCTCAAAGTTGTTCCCAGCATTGTTCAAAACGTTTGCGTGGCACAACCTTGAAATCCACAAAAGAGACACAAATCTCCTAGATCAGGTACAAAGACGAGCAGCCGATTGGGCAATAAGCCTAAAACATGAATTTTACAAGGACAAACTCTGACACTTGGGGTTGTTCTCGCTGAGCTACTGGAGCGTAAGGGGTGATCTGATAATGACACACAACATATCAGGTTTGCTAAACCACTCCAATTCGAGCATACTATCAGAACATAGTCACCACGCTCCTGAGGCAACCCTCAAAAGGTTGCACACCAAAGAGCGAGCACCCAGCTACTCTCTCACTTTTTCTCCTTACGAAATACCATCGTTTGGAATGCTTTCCTGCCGAAATGGCCACAACTCCTTTAGTGGATAGTGTTAGGGGAAACTTTACAAACACGTACTCACTCATGGATTACCATCTCTCTCTCAGACCAACTGTGTCTGATTCGTGTCTCATAAATTACTACGGTTATCACTACCACATATCGATAACTATTTCTCGACTTTTTTATTATTATCTCCATTACGTTCTTGCCCTTTTGATTCCGTCTTCTTAATGATTACCAATTAGTTAAATTATTTATTTTTAGTTTATTGAAATGATCGTCTTTACTTAGCACTTGAATTATCACTTTATTTTCGCATTGCAACCAACCAGCCAACTCCTTGCTTTGTAATAAAGTAACTGTGGTATCCAGTAACCCTACTCTCCTGAGATTAACGCACTCACTCAACTACAAACACACGAATCTATATATAACTGCCACACTGACTAGAATTAGTTCAGTCGAGTGTCTAAACTACCACACATGAAACATTACCGGATACCTGAAATCATACCGAAAAAAAAAACAAGAAGCGAGCACAAAGAAATCTATTGGTTTATACAAGCTTGTGACAAAGACATTGGAATTTGGATATTGATTACGTAAATTATCTAATGCAAGTATCGTCTGATTTATTACTTTTCTCTAATGATGTGAAACTCCGGAGAGAAGTTTCCAAACAAGGTGATAAGCTGACACTTCAGGAAGACCTGACTCGACTTCAAAGTTGTGTTGATAAAAACAGTCTTAATTTCAACAATTCACGGTGTAAAGCAGTCCGTATGAGATATGTTGCAGATTACGCTTACATCTTAAGTATCTCAAGATGAAAAAGAGCTAGGAGTCTGGGTATCATATGATTTTAAATTCTTACGCTAACTGCGATAAAAAAGTGCCTCTTGACCAAAACTTGCATTGGTGACGCTAAACGTCATTTCTGGCCGGTTCGACGGTAGAAAGTTCCACTCAATCTTCAGAAGTTTTATTGGACCCCATTTAGACTATGGATATATACTGTTTCCTCCATCGGATAACAATACACTGAAACGTATACAAAGGCGAGCCACGAAATCAGTCCAGGGACTCAAAGTCAAACCTTATGAGGAGCGCGTCAGGTCAATGGAATTTTATTCGTTAGGGTGTAGGCATCTGAGAAGTGACCTCCCATTAACTTTTAGCACCCCAAACACTCCTCGATACCCTCTTAAACACCCACTTAAGCTCATTCTCACCATAAACCTTGGGATGAAACTCAGTAATTAAAGGTACGACATAGCAGGATGGACTGCAGGTACACCTTTTACTCTTCTAAAGTTATCGGACTCCAAAATTCGCTGCCACCTGAGGTGGTTCATGCGAGTCCACAGGAGTCCTTTAAGAGAAAACCTGTCATATTCTTACAGACTAAAGACAGTATCTCATTAAAATTTACCAATGGTTTTCTCTTTTATTGTTATATATACTAAATACAGAATCCTGTTAAGCGAAAGCCTTATCCGTTCCGTCTAGAATCAAATGAACAATTTGACCATTTGTACTGTTCGATTTATTAAAAAGGCGGGCAACGTGGTATTCCTCAAACCTGACATAGAATGGTCAGTCTCTGATCTCCTTAAGGGTTCTCTGTTTCTAAAAATAGTTACATAGTATTAATTTTCAGTTTTATTGTAGAATTCTGGCGTAAAATGTCACTCGTCATGTCTCGTTGCTTACCATGATCTGAAAATGCTCAAAAAACATCGTTATGTTATGTTTCACATCGACGAACGGGGAGAAGTCCGCATTCTGAAAGAAGCTGTGAGAGGTTAGTATTAAGGTATAACATTTCTTCACCGGTACCATTAGAGGCAACGTACGAAGATTTCAGAAATGATATGGTTGAAGCAATGAAGTTGGGAGATGGTCGATACGTTATATATGACTATGAATATCCCAATAAAACTACAGACTTGTTTTTTATTATGTGGTACGTTGTTTGTTTGTGTCTATACGAGTTTAGGACCCCGAGGAACTTAACCCTTTTGAAAAATATGGTGTATGCGTCCACGATGTGCTGTGTAAAGTCTCAGTTCCAAGGGATCAAACACACCTTGGAAGCACATGACCTAGAAGATATTAGTGAGGAGCGTTTTATTGAGGTGGGGAAACAGAATAGACTGTGCTAGGTTAATGGAATTTTAATCTGGATCATTTGTACCGATCGCATCCCCTAACTGGATTTTATTTGTTTTTTTCTAATTATGCAACTCATTCAATGTATTTGATTTTCAGCTTCGGCTCACACTTTGTATTTCCATAGTTATGTGGACGATCTATTAATTGTTTAATCTTCAGTCGCTTGTCAATAAAACTTTGGAAGGTGTTTTTTATACTGACTTGCTTAACGAAATCTAAACTGATTTCTCAGACATCCAGTTGAGTCATTTATTCTATAGTTTTCTAGTTAGTCCTCTCTATTATACTTCAGTTTTTTAATTCAGGTCATGATCATTTTGAGATGATCCGGCATTATGTGTATTGACACTGAGCATCACTATCTGAAGGTACCGCTACATAACGTTCTACATGTCAGTCAGTCAGTCAGCTACAACGTAGGACCAGGCACATATGTGCATCGGTCCAGGTTGCCATACCTCATTAGCACAGCAAGATGAACACCGGATTCATAGGAGTGGTTAGGTCAAAGGTTGCAATAAGGATATAGTATAGGAAGAAAGAAATAGTTCGTAGAAAGAAAGATATGAAGTGATTTTAATCTCTTAGTTTAAGGGAAGACAGGGAGTGTATACACCGACGCCATTGTGATCGATTCTGAGCCATGTCACCAAGAGTCTCCAACCATTGGTTACGATGGTCACGCGGACCCCAACCAAGTAGTCTGCATCTACCAACATGGCTCAGACTGGAAGTTAGTGACTTCAGGCACTGATGCCACGTTTTGGTTTGGCCGCCCCTAACTTTCTTCCAACCATCCCCTACACCGGTTAGCATTGCACGTCGTGGTAATCGGTGTTCAGGCACACTCAACACGTAGCCCAACCATCTCAGTCGATGAAGATTCATAACCTCATCAACTGATTTACCATCATTCCCTAATACCCTGCGTCTAACCTCACTATTACTTACCCGGTGATCCCAGCAGATGCCAGCAATATTTCTAAGGCATCTGTGGTCAAATACTAGTAGCTTACGAGTGTCTTCCACTCTTAAAGGCCGTTTCGCTGCCGTAAAGTAAGACAGAACGGACTGCCGCGCAGTATACTCGTCCTTTTATTGATAGACGGATATCTCGCCTCCGCCAAAGGTGACGTAAGTTGGCAAAAGCCAAACGAGCTTTTCGAATCCGTGCTGAGATTTCGTCAGACACCAGCCCATTAGGGCTGATCAGACTTCCAAGATAAGTGAAGTTGTCGACGCGTTCGACTACTTCACTCCCTATCCTTAGTTCAGGTGTTGACGCAGACCAGTCCTGAAGCAACAACTTGCATTTAGAGGGAGAGAAGCGCATCCCAAACATTCTGGCATTGTTGCTTAGTGCTACCAGAAGACTCTGCATTTTGTCAGCGTCTTCACCAAACAGGACTATGTCATCTGCGTATTCTAAGTCGATAAGTGGACCTCCTGGAAGGAGATCAATACCCGAGAATTCAGTCGACGAGAGTGTTATTTCCATCAATAGGTCTATGATGAAGTTAAACAAAAATGGAGAAAGCGGACAGCCTTGACGGACACCACTTGAAGTTGCAAAAGTAGATGACAGTTCGCCATAAGCCCTGACTCGACTAGTAGTGTTCGAGTAAAGAGCCTTCACAAGGTTTATGTACTTCTGAGGTACGCCTTTCAATGACAGACACTGCCACAGAGTCTCGCGGTCTACAGAATCAAATGCTGCTTTTAAGTCAAGAAAGACCACCATCGTCGGACGCCGATAGGTATGCCTGTGTTCTAGAACCTGACGAATGGTGAATATGTGGTCGATGCAGCCACGACCAGGTCTAAAGCCAGCTTGGTTCTCTCGAGTTTGTAGTTCACGAGTCTTAGTTAGGCGTTTGATAATTATCGAGGCCAGTATTTTAGATACTATGTTTGTTAAACTAATCCCTCTGTGGTTGTCACAGGATGATTTTGACCCTTTCTTATATATTGGGACGATAAGTGATTGTGACCAGTCAGATGGGATAAAGTCTAATTCCCAGATCTTAGCTAAAATATTAGTCAACCTAATCGCTAAAATTGGACCACCATCCTTAAAGACCTCTGGAGCCAATCCATCTGGACCAGGTGCCCTTCCTCGTTTCAGATTAACTATAGCCTTTTCAACTTCAGCAAGAGTTGGGGGACCTACTTCAATGTTCCATTCACACTGTCTGGGACTGGAGGGTAGTTGTAGAGTAGCTGAAGGCCAGCTGAACTGTTCTCTAAAATGTTCCGCCCATCGTTCTAAACGTCTGGACTGGGAGCAGATGAGAGTATCATCTTTTTCCGAAATAATCTCACACTTGACTTATTAATTCCAGTTTCTTTTATTAGTCTGTAAAGCTGTCTTGTGTTCCCTATAGTCGCCGCCTTTTCCATCTCTTTTGCTTTCGTTACCCACCACTGCTCACGGTCGTTCCTTAGACTTTTTCTTAACCTAGATCTGATTTGTTTTCGCTCTTCATCATGTTCAGAACCTGATGGGACGAGTTTACGAGAATCCATCAGTGTGACAGACCTTGAAGAAATCCACTGGTTCCTTGCAACTCTGTGGTTTAAGTCACTAATAGATGTCACTGCTGTTTCCACAGCTGATTGTATGCCCTTCCAAGCAACATCTGGGTCAGCCTCGTCTTCGCAACTACCTAAGTGTGACCTCAGTTGTTCCTGGAACCTACTTTTGATTTTCTCGTTACTCAACTCAGTTCTGACGGGTCTTTTTAATGTGGCTTTTTTGCGTCCAGTGAGGCGCAAGCAGATGCGTGCCCGTATTAGGGCATGGTCGGAGTCCAAGCAGGTACTCCAGAATGAGCGACAATCTTCTACCGACCCTCTCCAACGATGACTGATGGCAATATGGTCTATTTGAGTCCATCGTTGGTTTGGTGTGGGGGGTCGCCATGTTAGACGATGTCTCTCCTTATGCTTAAAATTTGTGTTTGCTAAAAATAAACGATTGTCTGAGCATAGCTGCAGCAGACGATCACCATTATCTGTTCGCTGTGTCGGAACACTGAAATATCCACCTAAATGCCTTTCTGTTTGGTTTAAGCTACCTATCTGAGCATTAAAATCACCTGCTACGAGTACTATTTCTGAGCGTTTAGCTTTCTGAAGAAGTTCGGACAGCTTTCTGTAAAATTCATCTTTCACTTCATCTGAGCTGCAGTCAGTGGGAGCGTAGGCAGAAACGACAAAAAGGCAACGACGTGTATCCCTATCCTTCCGAGTTCTTACGTAGCCGTTCAGCCGAACAGCACATAGACGACTGTTGACGGGGATCCACTCTAGCAGTGTTTGTTCCGCCCTCATGCTTAGTGCTATGCCTACACCTGCCAGTCCACGAGAACTTGCCATCGGGTCACCAGATACACGAAGGGTGTATCTTGTTGGCTCTCCGTTTTGCCGAGGTGAGGTCAAGTGAATAACCACACTGGAATCCTGTATGCGTGTTTCGGAGACACAGCATACATCAATGGAAAGAGACTCTAGGGTTTTCGCCAAGGAAGCCTGCTGACCGGTTTGACATAGGGTGCGTACGTTGAAGGCTCCAATGTGTAGTTTGGAGCGAGGTTTCAGTAGACCTGGGAGAGTGTTTTGCGCACTAGAATCGTTGGCTATGGTGACACTTGAGGTGGAAGTCGAGAGAGGAAATTTAAAGTTGAAAGTCGATGTAGGAGTAATAATAGGAATTGAAGAGGGAGGTTGATTATGAATACAGTGGTCTTGGGTGCTGTTAGAGGTATGAGGGCGGTTATCACTTCCCGGTTGCCCACACCGTGGAAGGGTTGTTCTGGAGGTACCTGAAAAGGAAATTGGATTAAAGGTGGTCTTAGTGACCTGAGAGCGTGACCGCAGTGCCCAAGGGACAACTGCTTGAGGCCGGTCGCGCACGGCCTTTTCGTAGGAGGTTTTTGACGTGTTAGCTCCGTTCTTCAAAGGGCTTTACCGCCGGAGACGGAAATCCGTGAGGTAAGGTGAGGTGTGCATTTTTAGGGTCGACCTTTTCTAACCCCACCTCTCCTTGTGGGAAGGCAGCATCGCTGTCATGCTGGTTGTCTGAAGGAAACACCTTACTGCTGTCACACCTCTGTACAGTCAGCAGTACGACTTCGCCTTCAGACCTTGGGTTTGTTGCTTTTAGTCTTACCGCTCTTCAACCGACCTGTCTGACATGGTTGGACCTTGAGGAACGGTTGTTCCAGTCAGTATAGCTCGGTTGCTTCATCACGATAGGCAAGCCCGACCACCACGTCAAGGTAGCAACAACGGTCGGGTTCTACATGTGCACAAGTGACCTCGTGGTTATAGCTCATACGTTTATCTGTCCACCTTATTAGATTACTATCACGTTACTATGATAGAAATTAAGAAGCCTATCACGTTCCACACTGTTCAACCTTTGCAATGGCTTATATTTTCAGGTTCTTATTGTTTTACTAACGTGACTTAACTATATGTACTGCTTTCCTCATTGCTACCACTTGTAGACATTCAGGATTTGCTTCAAGGTGATCTGGGCTGACAACTTTGTGGCGGGAGGACATGTTACTTTTAAGTCGATCGGTCGTTATTAACGTAAGACCTTGTACATATATGTATCAGTCTAAATTACCACACTGGATATCACAACAAGAAATTCATATGAGAAGCATAGTATATGCAACAATGTTGAAATCGATGGAAATTGAAGCATGGAAAATAGTTTGTAAGGAAGAATTAATGTCGAAGAATAAAGTTAGGAATTATAACTAAATTTTAAAGAGCGATAGGAAGTAAAATCAACTGTGACCGTTTGTTTTTAAGTTATTGTTTGTGTACCTCTAACTCCGTAGGACAAATAAATACTTAAATGTAGTAAGTCTTGTTGATGTTATGCGTTTCAGCTTATTGACTTGTCATAGAAATAGCTGAATTCAAATAGTTCACTTCATGAAATCAATTACATTTTCTTCGTAATCTTAATTAGGAAGTTATATCAGTTGTATGAATTGGTATGCTCTTCTAGACAGTTTTCAAATACCTGATTTTGACAACAATGAAAATTTATCAAGATTAATCAGTCGGTCAAAACTAATGTACCGCTTGGTGTAAAGATTCATTGGCACAGATGTCTTCATCGTTTGTCCTTGTAACTTGTTTGTTTGCTACTCGTCTAGTAAAGTGTGAAATAAACAAGTTGTC